CTGTGTGTGTGTGTGTGTGTGTGTGTGTGTGTGTGTGTGTGTTCAAATGAGTGCGTGTGTTTGTTGATGAGAGGGTGAATGGTTCCTGTAAAAGCAAAACAAAGCATGTCTTGTATAATGCAAGATGCGTAAAGTATCTCTAAAGTCAGACAACTGATACACACAGGGTTCATTTGCTGGGAAAGAAAAACTGGCTGATGAATATCAACGTGGCTGACGCACGTTGAAAGTAGACAGCTGTTTTGGGACATCCTCACACATACGAAAAGCTGACTTGTCCCCCTAATAGAATATCAATCAACAGCATTTTTAATTAAAATAAGTTTAGATTGTAAGAAAAAAATTAATGATTTAACTTTGTTTAGAGTTTCAGATCAAGAGGGGAGGGAGGCGGAAATAATGATTAATTTGTTTGGAGTTTTAGATTAAGAAATAAAATATGAGGATGTGCTTAGAGTTTTATATTATGCGAAAAAATGACTGATGTGTTATAAACTCCCTCTATCATTTTATCAAAGCCAAAGAGGATATTAATAGAACAACATGTATCATGTATAACCCCTTTGGTCAAAGCTGAGACATAATCGTGAGCACACATGTGTGTGTGTTTATTTGTTCACTTGCCCCCGGTAATAGCATGTTAACAGTCCGAGATAGAGCGTTGTTATGCACTTTGGTTTGAAAAGTAAGATTGGATAATATCTTGTGCTTTCATCTGATCCATGTAAGGAATATTGTATCATTATCTCTATTATGTCGTAGACTTCAAAACTGTACTATTTTTCTCATGGCTTTTCGATCATATATATATTATATTGTTCTCCGTGTGTATTTTCTACTCTTTTTTCTGGGGACGTATATTATTTAATATGTTTGTCAATGACGAACTGAATGAAAATTGGGGTACGCTTAGCTTGGGAATCCACGTGAAGAGTTTGGATATTTACTATTGAATTAGATGATCATTCAAGTTAACTCGTTGTTTTCTTTCTGAAGATTTTCCCCGCTCTTGATTATAATCGCAGACGTGGGTGTTTTGGGGAATTTATCTTGCTTGAGTTCAATTTTTAAGAATCAGACCGACAGGTAAAGGATTGTTGTTCAGAACTTGCTTTATGCACCGTACTTGTTGATCGATCTAGCGATCTAGAACTAGTTGATTTTTCTGTTTGTTATACTTTAAAAGTTTGGTATTCCTCTTCTTTGTTTTTGTTTGTTATCTGTTTTTGAAAAAAGATTTTCAGTGTTGTTTTCGTGTTGTAGCAGCAACTGCAGTCATTGCTACAGTTGATGGTTCTTTGTGTTGTTGTTGCTGTTAGTTTTGTATTTGCCGTACTTTGTTTACTGTAAAATATTGCTGTCATAGTTGTAGTTGTTCATGTTCTCGTTCTTGTTTCTTTTTTTTTTTTTTTTTTTTTTTTTTTTTTGCTTTTACGGTTATGATTATTGTTAAATTAAAAGCTAACGGTAAGAATGACCTACGGTTGTATTCATGCTGTTGTTTGTATCTGTTAATAACTCAAAAATCATAATTGTGATCATGACAGTTTTCATAATCTAATATTTATTATTTTGTTTCGCTTTACTTCAGCCATTTACGTCAAAGTTTTTCATTTTTGTCATAATGTTGTTTGTAAAAAAATATTTTCGCAGAATGAATTTTGCGTCTTTGTTTTTAGTTAGCCGTCCAAACTCTCTATAATACGGTATAGAGTATAGTTCCATGTACATATTCTATGGAAATCCGGATTGCCCAGATTATGGGGTTGCCAAAGAAAAACGTTCAGCTACAGACCGCTCTCTGTTCGCAGCTGTGCACTGACGTCATCAAGAAGTTTTAGCAAAGTTACGCTTGAAGCTGTAGCCAAGTAGTTACGTTACAAGGGGTAAAACGTTGTTCCCGCATCCGATCCGGACATAAGGGATTGCCTTGTTAGTGAGACAACTTCCTGGGCCCTCGGCATTTTGTGGTAGGGTGGCCAGTTCCTTTCCACGCCGCCTTTACTTCCCCAACTCGAAGTCAAATACCCATTACTGCTGGGTGGGCAGGAGGGGGCGAAAATAAATCCGTGTCCGAACCGAGGCTCGAACCCGGACTTTCCGTTTCGGAGACGAGCGCACTAACCGCTCCGCCACCACGCCCTCACAAGGGGTACTGTGTTGAAATAATTGGAAACAATACCATCAGCTGTAGGCCCTACATGAAAAGGCCAATCCTAAGGAATTTCTAGTCTACAGAGGAATGAAACCAGTGCACATTGCAGAAAAGTTTTGTAGAATTTCCATTTGATAGATTGGATACATTTGAGGGTGGCAAAGTTTTCCTTACTGGATGGGCGAAAGTTATCATTTTTGCACAGGATGAATCATCCAAAATTCAACATGATTGATTTTGTTTGATACCATTTGATACGTTTGATGAAAACAACCAATGAGGAGGCAAGAACACGAATTGCGGAGTGAGATCTTTTGTTAACGTGCGGATTGGGACAGGTCCTAATAAACTCCCGTTTAAACCTAACAACAACAAATTAATGAAGCAACACAGAGGTTCAGTTTGGCATAATGTGCACGCAAAATGCCATTAACCAACCTGATTCGATCCGATCCGATTCGATCGTGCAAGTCAGGTTCATTTGATCAATGTGTATCCACTATAATGGCAATTAAAAATCTATTTTGTCCTAGACTTTAGCTGATCTTTTTCATAAGTACAACGGCGCCACAGATAACTCGATAACTTATCCCAGTGTGTGGTATGATAATAATATGATAATAATATGTAATTGTAATACAAGAATTGTGTTCACTTGTACAGTGAGCTTGAGCTGTTTATCCGGGCAGCCAATAAAGCCTTGAGTTACTCATCCCTTGTCTTTTCCAAACGTATTGAATTTACTTTGGTTGAAGCTATTATTTGATGTTACTATCGTTGTTGTTGTTGTTGTTGTCGTCGTTGCTGTTTATTTGGGTTTCATTTTGTTGTTGTTGCCTTTGCTGTTGCTGTTTTTGTTGTTGTTGTTATTGTTGTTGTTGTTGTTGTTGTTGTTGACGATGATGTTGTTGCTGCTGCTGTTGTTGTTGTTATTGTTGTTGTTGTTATTGTTGTTGTTGA